AGCAGGCCCACGTTAGCCCTGTCTATTCTTTTACTATAAAGGATGCAGAATCAGCTCATCTCACTGCCCTTACCCTCCGCTGCAGGTCCAGGGGAGCTTTGGTATCATCCCTACATCCATGGACAAGGTTTCTAAACTCCTTCTTTGTAGCTTCCCCTGCTTCTAGCTCCTGGGTGCTGCTTTTTTTGCCCTGGAGCTCTGTCAGTTCAGACAAGCAGCCTCACAAGATGAATGGTTCTTTTCATGGGTATCCAAATGTCCTTGGAGGAGGCTGTCCTGTAAGGCCTATCCAATTTCCTCAGCTCCTTTACCCTTCAGAGCTGCTTCCCATGGCACCACCTGTATCAGCCCCCCCCGAGTATGTCAAAGTCTTCTCCTCTGGAGTCCACCAGCCTCTGCTCTGTTGCTGGCCTTCCTCACTCCCCTCTGGTGCCTGGGACCCCACTATTTCCTGGTCACGACAGCCAAGGCAGACACTGATGATCACATCCCTGACCAGCTCTTCCTTCTTTGCCAGTACCAGGTCCAGGTGAGCATCACCCATGTTGGCCCACCTCGCAGCTGTGTGAAGAACTTCTCCCAAGATCCCCCAGACTGTTGCCACCCTGCCACTTTGCCTGGCCAATGAATGCCAGGGCACTTTCAGTTCCCCATGGGAACCTGCTCATTGATCTGAGACTTCCTTGGGTTGCTGACAGAAGATCTTTTCCATTTCTTCTCCCTGATCAAGTAGTTTGTAACATCCAACAAAATGTCACCATGTATTGGGTTTACATCACAAAGTTTTGGAAGTGGGGGTGGAGGTGGAGGTGCTGCTTCTGTGACAAGACCCCAGGAGTTGGCCCCATGTCAGACAGAGCCAGGTTCAGCTGTCTCCAAGATGGACCCACCGCTTGCCAAATCGGAGCCCCTCACTGATGTTGGTAGCGCCTCTGTGATAATGTATTTAAGAAGGGGTAAAAAACACTGCGCAACAGCAGGTGGGAGAGAGGAGTGAGAACATGTGAAAGAAACGGCCCTGCAGACACCAGTTAGAGAAGTGTGTGGAGGACCGTCTCCCGTGGGAGGGACCCCCACACTGGAGGAGAGGAAGAGAGTGAGGAGAAAGGAGCAGCAGAGACAAAGCATTATCGGCTGACTGCAGCCCGCATTCACCATCCCCCTGTGCTGCTTGGGGGAAGGAGGGAAAGAAGTCAGGAGTGAGGCTGAGCCTGGGAAGAAGGGAGGGGTGGGGGTTAGGGGTTATGAGATTTGTTCTTACTTCTCATTATTTTGTTCTGTTTAATTGGCAGTCAATTCATTTCAGTTCTCCAGGTTGAGTCTATTTTGCCCATGACAGTAACTAGTGAGTGATCTCCTTGTCCTTATCTCGACTCATGAGCATTTTGTCATATTTTCTGCCTTGTCCTGGTGAGGAGGGGGAGTGATAGAGCGGCTTGGTGGGCACCTGGCGGACAGCCAAGGTCAGCCCACCACACACCCTTGCTGGCTCTTCTAATCCTCAGTGACAAAGCTAATCCTACTCGTTGTCCTTCCCATAGGGGAGCTCCTGACACCTGACCTGCCCCTTTGCAAAGGAGGCATCTTCCCCTCCTCATTCGCCCTGCTATTCTTTCTGGCAGAGCCTGTCTCCCTCCATTGCAGCACCCCAGATGACCAAGCTGTCGCACCACATCTAATTTAATCCACAAAATTCACAGGGCTGTGGGGGTCCAGTTTCTCCTATCTGTTCCCCTGCTCCTCCTGCCTGCGCACGTTTGGGCTGTGGCACCGACTTGTTCCAGGAAAACATGGGAGCAAGGGCCCAAGACCCAACGTATGGAAAGGCTTTGCTTCAGGGCACAGACGTGCTGGAGTGTTTGGTAGATGGCAAGGTAAGGAGGAGATGAGGTGCCCACAAAGAGAGCAAACCCCAGTGTCTCCAAGGCCAGAGGAGCCGGGCTGGGCAATGACACCTGGCCCAGAGAGGGCTTTGGTGTTTCTGCATGAACTCTGCAGAGCTGTGGGGCTTGCAAGACAAACTGCAGGGAGGGCGGGGGGCTTCAGAGAAAGTCTCTGGGGGTAACGGACTTTGATCCAGCCACTCTGTGAACATTGTTGTCACCTTCCCTCTTCATAGCATCAGGCAGGTGAATCTCAGAGATTGAGAGAGAGAATGGCCAAGGGCTGAGAGCGCAGGGAGAGGGGAGGGCATCCTGGTGTGATCTGCCTCCCAGTCCTGCAGTGCCCCTGGGCGTAGACGGGACAGACCTTGCATCTGTGCTGTGGTGTTGGTGTTCAGGTGGCACACAGGCACCAGACCCATCTGGGGGCCCTGGGCTGTCTGCCCCACAGCAGCTCCAAGAAGGCACAGCTTTTCTGGAGGTCCTGTGCTGTGTTTGCCTGCTGAGTGCAGTTGTGTTTGGCACCCCAGGCATCGGGCATGGCACTCAAGCCTTTTTTTTATGCCATTAAAATGAGAGCCTTGATGTATTCAGTGCAGGGATATGGATGCGACTTAGCTTCACGGTGACTGGAGCTCTAGTGAGTACAGTGGATAGAAGAGAGACGTGGGTCTCTGTCTGGGGCAGTCCTCCATTTGGTTACCTCGATAGCTCTGCATGCTCCAGAGAGATACTTGACAAAGGCACTTAGGTGGCTGGTGTCAGTGTGGGTGGCAAAGGATATCCCCGTTCCCCCTCAGGTCCTCAGCTGATGCTCAGAAGAATGTGGGTATTCTCAGAGATTTTCCATCAGAGCTTGCAAACACTTGCCCACGTCTTGGACCACCCCTGGCACCTCAGTCATCACCAAGTGTCTGTGCGTGAGCACCTGAGTCCCCACTGAATGAAGCCAAGGGGCTCAGAGCAGGAGCTCACATGCAGGCCACTCTTTTATGCCCTCCTGAACTGAACCAGAGGATTCCCTTTGGCGTGTGGGGTGCATGGGGGGAGCTGGATGCCACTTCAGGCCCAGGGTTTCCAGCTTGGGATGAGATGCCTGTGTTGCCTCAGCTGAAGCCCTGCCTTGCACAGGGGAAGCCGACCCCTCCCTTTCCCTGCCTGTGTGTCTTTTTGCTATGGTACAGGAATGGGTGTGTCCACAGGGGAACATTTACACCTCTTGCAGTTAACCATGCTCTGCTAGGACAAACCATGCTGCTGGAATCAGTGTCTCTCCACAGTTCAATGAGGGATTGTCCTTGATTACCTGAGTTGACTTCAAAACACATTCCCCTGGAAGGACCAAGCTGCCTTGCAGGAGCTGTCAGCCCTTGGAGCCCCAGGGACATCTCAAAGGAGTCCGGAGGGGGCACAGAAAGTGCTGTCTCAGGCTGGGCCTCTGCTGCTGAGCTGGGCTTGGCTCCTGGGATGGAGGCAGCTAATGGCAAGTGGGCAGCACTGCAAAGAGACAGCTCTGCCCAGGAGCAGCTCCTCTGCAAAGCGCAGCAGGGCTGAGGGCACTGCCTGCAGGCACCGACGGGTGAGGAGTGGAGAAGAGAGAGACGGCAATCTGGAGGGGAAGGAGAGCTGAGAGCTCACTATGGGAGAAATCTTCACAGCCCTCAATACAGTAAGTCTCTGGGTGTAAGGCAGCGCAGCTGCGGTTCCTGGAAAGACCTCCTAAAGCTGGCACATGCCACAGCTTCTGGAATGTGTCAGGAGGACCCTCAGGGTTTCTCTAGTGTAGAGGAGGAGGACATGCTCCAGAACAAGGATTCCCCACTGCACCATCAGAGGACTGGCTGTGATGGCTGCCTTCTCCCAGGGTGTGAAGGTGGGTGTGCAGCCAGGGGTGCCCAGGGCTGTCCTTCCGAGCAGGGTCCCTGCACCCCAGGGGGCTGTGTGCTGGGGCAGGGACTCTGCCGCCTGCCAGGGTCAGCACTCAGCCTGCCCGGGGAGCTCCCAGCGGTGCTATGGGGAGAAGCTGTGGGTGGAAGGAGTGAGCCCTGGCTGGGCAGGGCAGGGTGCTTCTGCTGTTGAGAGGGACCTGTTTGGATGAGGGCTGCTCACAGCTCCAGATCACTCTGTGGACATTTGCACAGCGTCCTTCGGAAGGACGTTGGGGCAGCATTTACCTCATAGGGAAGGATTCTGTGCTCTCAGTTTTTCTACTCTTGGTTGGCTGGGTGGGCAGTGGGAGATGGGAATTTATTTCTCTGCTCTGGAGTAGGCAATGAGACCCCAGTTCTCATCGGGACTTGTCTGAGCTGCTCCTTAGCCCCCGCACACCCAGAGATGCCCCTGGGCAGTGCCCTGCTGCCAGGAGGTGCCTGCAGGGCAGAGCTGAGCACACAGCAGGGGGGATGGGCTCTGTGAGCATGGAGAGGGAGGAGATGCGGGGACAGAGAAACTGCTGCCAGATGGGACAGCTCTAGGCCTCAGAGACATGGACAGGGAGTGAGAGGGAGCTGCTGCCAGCAATGCTGTGGGAGTGGGGATTCAGGCATCTCCCTGCCAGCCCCTGCAGTGCAGGCACAGTTCCCAGTACAACCCCCAGACTCCTCTCCTACCCGGCAGAGCCTCTGCCCCCAAAGCCATGGGGTCCAGGCCATGAGTCACCACCTCAGCAGCTGGACCTCCAGCTGAAGGCTTCTTGGAACGTGGTACACAAAAAAGATGCTAAAAGCACTTGCCCTACAGTGTCATCAGCTGAGCAGCAGTGAGCACAGCTGGGTAAGGAGGCTTCACAACATGCCCGTATGCCTTTCTGTCCTCACTTCATTCTTTCTGGAGCATTGCAGTGTTCTTGCCTGTTTCTCCACCTGTCTGTGGTACTCTTGCTCTCTGGGGTTGGGGTGGGGATGTGGGTCAGTTTTTGTTCTGAAACCGACTCTGGGAGTCCTGCCCAGGGGTATCTTTTCAGGGGTATCTATTCAGCTCAGGGAAGGAGTTTTCTATGAGTAATGGTGTGTTTTTTTCTTCAAAGAAGTCTCCTCTAAACTGTCAGTGTCTTTTCCTCCTTGGACAGGTCCTCATGCCCAGAGGGACAGTATGTCCAACGGCAGCTCCATCACCCACTTCCTCCTCCTGGCATTCACAGACAGGTGGGAGCTGCAGCTCTTGCACTTCTGGCTCTTCCTGGGCATCTACCTGGCTGCCCTCCTGGGCAATGCCCTCGTCATCACCGCCATAGCCTGCGACCACCATGTCCACAGCCCCATGTACTTCTTCCTCCTTAATCTCTCCATTCTTGATCTTGGCTCCATCTCCACCACTGTCCCCAAAGCCATGGCCAATTCCCTCTGGGACACCAGGGCCATTTCCTTCTCGGGATGTTCTGCCCAGGTTTTTTTCTTTTTGTTTTTGATGTCAGCAGAATTTTTTCTTCTTACACTCATGTCCTATGACCGCTATGTGGCCATCTGCAAACCCCTGCACTATGGGACCCTCCTGAGCAGCAGAGCTTGTGTCCACATGGCAGCAGCTGCCTGGGGTAGTGGCTTTCTAAATGCTGTGCTGCACACGGCCAATACGTTTTCACTCCCCCTCTGCCAAGGCAATGCTGTGGACCAGTTCTTCTGTGATGTCCCCCACATCCTCAAGCTCTCCTGCTCACACTCTTACCTCAGGGAATTTGGGCTTGTCATGTTTACTGCCTTTGTATTTTGGTGGTGTTTTGTTTTCATTGTGCTGTCCTATGTGCAGATCTTCAGGGCCGTGCTAAGGATCCCCTCCGAGCAGGGAAGGCTCAAAGCCTTTTCCACGTGCCTCCCTCACCTGGCCGTGGCTTCCCTGTTTATCAGCACTGCCATGTTTACCCACCTGAAGCCCCCCTCCATCTCCTCCCCATCGCTGGATCTGGTTGCTGCAGTGCTGTACTCAGTGGTGCCTCCAGCAGTGAACCCCCTCATCTACAGCATGAGGAACCAGGAGCTGAAGGAGTCCATCAGGAAAGTTATTTTCAGGATGGTTCTCAATAGTGGTCAATTTTTCATCACTCTTCAGGAATGACTCCCACAGTGCCCCATTGCAGGCCTGTCCTTTTTTTCCTGTTTTATCATTTTTTATCATTATCCATATTGTTATTAGTTTTTATTGTTCTCCTAAATAAATGTCTGAATCCATCTTACTTCTCTTGAGGAATGAACGTGCTCTGTCTATCCTGGAGCGGATGGAAAAGTGTGTCTTTCTCTCAGGCAGAGCTGACACTTTTATAGCATTTCTGCAATAAAATGGGATCACCCCAGTGCACTGACTGAGGTGGGGACTCTTCTTTCAAAGCTGATGTCAGCAAGAGACCCAAGGAATTTCACCCCAAAAGGGCCTGTTTCTCCTTGGAACTGGAAGAGACAAGCTCATGGTCCCATTAGTAGCTGTTAGAGAGCAAGGGTTGGAATTTGGACTCACCCATTGTTGTGTGGTGACCATGGGGATGGTGAATGGTCAGTGAGGTACATACCCAGGGCTTTCTCAGATATGACAGTACAGAGGACATTCTCCAGAAAGCTGATCTGGAGAGCCTTGTGGTTCTATGGGGACAGCACATGCCTGGGGTAAGCAGTGACTGAAGCCCCACTAAGTGAGAGATCACCCAAGGTGGAGTCACCCAAATGGAAAGTGCTAAATGCCAGTATCTGCAAGTAAGGAAAGATGAACATACCCAACCACCCACAGACCAACTCCAACAGCGAACAGCACCATTACAGCCACCACACCAGCAACAGAACACACACAACCATGGACGACACAACTGTCCCCATCCTGGTCCCTTCTCTGATCTGCTGTGAAGGTCATGAGTGGTCTGGTGGTCCTCTGCCGCACCTACCCACGGGCACACACTGCCACGGTCCCTCCAGTGTGGGCCTGAGTTGTGGGTCTGCCCAGGTGTCCTACTCAGTCTTGGAGCCGTTACCCACTTGGCAACTTCAGCCTTGGGTGTCTCCACATCCTGGTGTCCTCTTCTGCCAGCCAGCCCCACTTGGAGTTGGCCAGCAAAGCACACATGTACATTCTCTCTCTGACACACACACATGCAGGCATGTGCACACATGCACATGCACACACACGCACATGCACACACACACACGCACACACACACACAATTGAGTATGTTCACACAGCAAATAGCCAGGAGCAGAGTTTAATAAGAAGGCGGGACACACCATGGAGATCAGGCACAGGGTTTGGATGGATCAGCCCTGAGCAGCCCCTTCCAAACTGCAGCTGGCCCCTTGCATCCCTTTCCTTGCCCCATCCACAGGCTTCTTCCTGCCAGGCCTCCTGGATCCCTCCCTTTCTGTGCCCCAGTCCCCTCCCCAGTCAACAACTGTCACCAATTACTTTTTCCCCAACGGTCTCAGGTTTGTTCCATTTCTACCATCATTTGGTAGTTGGGATACCATGGCCTAGGTCATCCAGGCCTTCAGTGGCACCACTGATGGCTTCCCCTGGCACTGCTGGCCTTGCAGGACTTGACTGCCCAGAAGCTCCCCAAAGCTCCCCTCCAGTGACCTGTGCAGTTTGGTCTCTTCTCATGTCTCTGCTCTTCAACCACTTATGAGACCCAGCTGGGACACATCGTGCTGCCTGTACTGCTAGTCCCTTCTTACACGGGTCTCTGTCACATCCCGCAGTTTCTCATGCCACATCCCATAGGTTCCCATTTCAGGTACAGGTGGCTTCACCCCAGGGCATGGCCTGACCAGGGGCTCAGTCATCTGCCTGCAGCCTTCCCATCTGGTGCTTTTGATGACCTGATGATGCCTGCCTGCTCCTGGCCAATCACATTGCTGTCATGAGGTGACCTTCTAGCAACCGCTCAACCACATTGGTCTTAGCCACCTCTGCCCTCCCTGAGCAGCCATCTGTGTCATGCTGGGGTTTGTGACATGCTTGATGATGTCACAGTACCTGCCTGCCCGCTGCAATTCAGTCAGGCTGCAAAAGAAGTGACCTCAAAATCAGCCTCCCAGCTCCGATGCCTCTCCTGGCATCTCTCTCTTCCTGCGACAGAAGTAACCTCCCAGCCACCCTCCCACGCACTCCCACTTTGCCGCCACCTCCCCTCCCCTCCCCAGCAATGTCATTTCTGCTGGGCATGCAGAAACACGCTCGCCCGTAGGGACTGCAGAGTCCTGGTGGGACAGCTGGGTGATGGGAGGGCAGCCATGGAGGGCAAGGTGTGCCGGGTTTGGCTGCGATAGAGTCAATTTTCTTCACAGTAGCTAGTATGGGGCTCTGATTTGGATCTGTGCTGAAAACAGTGTTGCTGACACAGGGATGGTTTCATTATTTCTGAGCAGTCTTTGCGCAGAGCCAAGGCCTTTTCTGCTCCTCACCCCACCCCACCAGTGAGTAGGCTGGGGGTGGACAAGAAGCTGGGAGGGGACAGAGCTGGGACAGCTGACCCCAGCTGACCAAAGGGGTATCCCATACCATATGACGTCACGCTCAGCAATGAAAGCTGGGGGAAGGAAGGAGGAAGGCGGGGACATGCGGAGCGATGGCATTTGTCTTCCCAAGTAACTGTTACGCATGATGGAGCCTTGCTTTCCTGGGAGAAGCTGAAAGGCCAGCAGCAGGCTCGTGGCTTGGAAGATGATGGTGAGGTTCCTTTTGTCTGGTCAGTTGATAGGCCACAAGAGGGCTGATGCGTTGGGATGTCATTACGACATCAATTGTGTCTGAGCAGCTCATAGACCATGAGGAGGCACATGGCCACAAAGGCAAACGTGACGTCACTGTAGTCTCCAGTCTCTTTGGGTGATTGCCCACCAGCAGACACATGGCTCGGATGTTGACTATGACATCACTTCTGCCTGAGAACCTGATAGGTGCCAGCAGCAGGCACCTGACTTGGGTGTTCCGTTGTACCTGCAGGTTCTGGTTTGTTACGTCCCCATGAAGAAAGGCACGTAGACTCTGTGAAGTACCATTTCAAATGCCATTTCCTAGAGGAAACACTACCCAGAAAGAGTGAGTAAGGCCAGCTGCATACAGGGCTGCAGTAGGAGGACTGTGGCCACCCAGACAAGGGGGCTATCATCCCCCTCGGCTCAGCACTGGTGCGGCCACATCTGGACTAGACAGAACTTGATTTTGAGGCTCTGGACTTGGTTTGCTCCTTGCCTCTTCTAAAGGTAACCAGGAGGTGTACAGTTGTCCTACACTTGGCATTGCTCACGTTCACATCCCTCTGCCCCCCAGGAAGAGTCCTGACCCACACATGAGGGACAGGATCTGCCCTCCCATTGCCTGGGGGTGAGGGTTTGGCCTTGCTGCTTCATTTAAAACAAACAAACGAAATAAGTTTCCTCAGCATCTGAGCTGCCTGCACATTCCCTTTGCCTCCCTGCAATTATGGCCTCCAATTATCTTCGCTAACGAGTCCCTGGGGAGGCTTTGTCAGTAATGGGACTCATTAATACTTCAAGGTACTTTGGGTTTTGCTTTTGAGGTTGACTCTTGGAGAGGTTTGTGCAATCTCCTCTCAGTGCCTGAAGCTGAAGGACTCAGCACCAAATACACTATGAGGCTCATTAAAATGCAAAAAGCCCTGATAATATATTTCTCTTCCTTTAATTTTCTTCAAGTCTTCAAGACTTGTACAAATAATTGGAGCTGTTTCCTAGTGTATTTGTGGAGAAAGATTTCAAAGAGCTTCTAATAAAAATGAGGTTTTATTTCCAAGGGTGTAGTTTATTATTGTTCAGTGTAGAGAAGAGATGACAGCAGCATTCTCCAATAGATATTGCTGCAGGGTGTCTCCTCAGGAGGTCTGGACTGGTAAGAGAAGCTGTCCCTTGAGCTCTGACAACCTCCCACCTCACCTCCCCAGCCCCACCATTGCTCTCCTTGCCCACCTGGGACTTTTCCTTACAGCAGACTTCTCCACTCATCTCTGCAGCTGGATGGTACGGCTCCTTTGCACCATCTCCCCCCTGCTCTCCTTAGAGACCTGGCTGCACACAGCCACAGGAGGGTTTTTCCTATTTGCAAGCAAAGG